GAAGAAGAAGAAGAGGAGGAGCAGGATGAGGAGGAGGAGTAGGAGGAGAGAGGGGGGGCGTGGAGGTAGGGAGGGGGGAGGGAAGGTGACGAGGAGGAGGAGGAGGAGGAGGAGGAGGAGGAGGAGGAGGAGGAGGCGGAGGAGGAGGAGGAGGAGGAGGAGGAGGAGGAGTGTGTTTTTTTTTTTTTGGGGGGGGGGGGGCGGAGGGAGGCACGGGCGCCAGCTTCACACATGAGCGCCGACCTTGGCTAGAGGCCCAACCGTTTGCCCAGGATCGATACAGACAACACCATGCTGCGACCGGGGGGGCGATCCACGTTGGAGAATAGCGATGCCGCAAGATGCCGAGGAGCCGATCGCGAGCAGGACCGTGCCCGCGTTCGCCGTCGACCCTTGGCAGTGGGACCGCCGAAGCACCGGCGGGTCTCCTCCACAGAGCTGTCGCTCGTTGGAGTTGGATGCGCTCCGGTGCGAGCGCGTCCTTGGTGTGCGAGGAGAGGCATCAGATTATGAACCCTCTGCACTGAAGGCGCGCGCACCTGGAAGGATCGCTCACTGTACCGGACCAGGTTCCTGCGCTTGCTTTTGCAAGTGTATCGTCGTCGTCGCCCCGCGACCCGCCTCGTGACCTGCGATCTGACCCGGGGCCCGCATGCGACCCGCTTGCGCCCCGCCCGCGTTGTCTTGTATCGAATCAGCGGCCAGGGCGGGTCTGGTCAGCCTGCTCACTCTTACCTTCAATTTTTCGGCCCAGGCTGTTTAGTTACATGAAGTTCCACCCCGAGAATGAGACAACCTCGCCGCTGGTCTGATGCAGCTATGACTCCAGATCTGGGCAGCATTGGTTCACGGTGCTTGGCCCGGTAAAGTTTGACTGGCGGGCTACGCAATGCACCAGCCGGCCGTTGGCGTTAAAAGTAAAACGTATCTATGGGCGGTTCGTGCGACATAGCATCCTTGGAACCTCAATTGGCCCTTTTTGTGGAGCGTTTTAAGCTATGCGGTTCCAGAAGGTAGAGGCGCATCCTTGGAGAATCGATTGTGGGCCCCGCTTCACATTGGGCAAATCACGTAGCTTCTGGGTCATGTTGTTTCTCGTCAGTGACATCCGCCAGGAGGCTCTAGCCATGGTGCAGTCGCTTGCCTGTGTGATGCAGATGTGGAAGAAGACGTGGGCTAGATCTGCAGACATGTCGTAAAATCAACGCCACCGATCGGGACTTGGGATCTCGTCGATCTCGCTGCACAAGAGAATGGTCACCCTGGCTGCCGCTGATGCCTTGAGATCGTAATTCAGACATTGTGTTGATGCCGGGTGATTCTTGAAAGCCCTGCACTGATTCGGTGTGGGCGTCCCAAATGGCGCAAAATTGGGCTACCCATCGGTCGTTTCAAGCAGGCATGCCTGGGCCTGGACTCCCAGATCCCAGTCTGCTTCAGGCACCTCCCCACTCCAGTCATCGAGTGCTGTTCCCGTCTCCTTCGTCCTCGCAGATCTGTACGGCCAGGGCGTCAAACCAAATTGCCCCTGCACGTCCCAATGGGAAGCAGTTGCGCCCTCGTGGGTCTGGTCGCCTTCGTCCTCAGGGGGCGGGCGTATCGCCGATCCCCCCCTAACGATGCCCCCGAGCGATCCTCGTTGACCGGTTTTCCGGCCACCGCTCGGGCCTCCGGCGGCCAAATTGAGACGATCTATGGGCACCCAGGGAACGTTCCCGCGGCGAGGCGCAGCCTCTGGAAAAAGCATCCCGATCGGCAGGAGAAAGAGCCGCCGAGAAGCGGCGAAGACGTCCCCAAGACCCAAGACCTCTCGGGGCTCAAGAGGCGGGGGTCAGACCCAGACACGATCGCGTCGTACAGAATCAGGACGGGAGGTCTTTGGCCATTTTCGGCCTCGGGGGGCCCTCGCCAGGCCTCGGGAGCGTCACAAAAGCGATTCAGGATGAAAACCGGTTCCAGGAAATCAGGAAGTCGCATGTCTGGGGAGCGCCAGATGTTGCAGGATCCTGCAGGGCCAGGGCGCACTGACCCGGGTTTGGGTGCAGGTTCTTGCAGGAGCCGTCAGGATCTTGCAGGAGCCTGACTGACCCGGGTCTGGATTGACCCGGGCCAGTGGACTTTCGAAGAGCTTCTTCCCCCAGCCCCAGACATGCGACGTCCTGATGTTTTCAGGACGGGGAAGTCCCGACCGTTCCCTTGGACCGGTTTTGTCATCCCGTGTCGTTCTTTGACGGTCCCGAGGCTCGGCGAGGGCCCCCCGAAACCTCTAGTCGGGATTTTTCACGACGCGATCATGTCTGAGACGTTTGCGCCTACGTCGTCCATTTGGTGGTCGCAAGAGCGAGCCGACTTGCCCGCTGTGCGTCGCACCTGGAGGCAGTCTCGGCTGCCCCCGCAGGCCGCGGGAAGGCCCGCGAGCGGCTGGGACAGAGAGGAGGGGCTGCCGAGCCCGACCTCATCACCATCTCCCCCCCTCCTCCTCGTCCTCCTCCTCCTCCTCCTCCTCCTCTTTCCCCTCCTCCTCTTCTTCCTCCTCCCCTTCCCTCCCTCCCTCCCTACCTTGCCTCCCCCCCCCTCCCTCACTCAAGCCATTGTGGGTCAGGCCTTCTTGGGGGGAGGCCCTACCTGCACGCGCGCACGCGAACCGTGTGTCGGTGCCCTGCGAGCGCAGGGCGGCCAGGCATACCCGCGGCTTGAGGGGCGCCCAGTCAGGGCGGCGGAAGTTGCGCGTGGACGGTCTCGGATGGCAAAGGGACGGAACAATGCACGCCCTCGCTCGACCAGCCGTGGCCGCAAGAACGAATATTTGGTTTGCCCTCATTGTCCTCGGTCTTGGGTCTTTGTTCACAAGGCACGGAAGACAGGATGGGAAGGATGCCGTGAGTGTGGCCGTCTGTGGAAAGATCCTGCTCGGGCGATCGTCACCTTCGACCTGGGGGAGAACGACGTCGGCAACGGCCAACCCCCGCGTTCCTGCCTCAAGGGGGGTAGTGCGGCCAAGGACCCAGTCGAAGGCGCTCTCATGCCCAAGTACCACAAGGCCAAGACTGAGGGGGGCCAGGAGACCCAGGACAAGCTCTTGGCCGTCTGTCCATCACTTGCGGATTCGTGGAAACCACCGCCTGAGGCCACGCCAGAGGAGCGCCTGGCCCAGAAGGCGCAGCTGCTGCGCCAACTCCAGGCTCAGCAGGGACGGCTCAAGAAGCAGCTTGTCCAGGCGGCCCAGTCATTCAAAGACTTGCAGGACAAACTCAACGTCAACATCGATGACTGCCTGGCAACGCAGAAGACGATCGATGAGCTCGTGGGCAAGGCCAAGACGGCAGCGCCGCAGTCGGAGGCACGCCAGGCTCAGCAGGCACGGCAAGCAGAAGAAGAAGATTTCCCAGAGCTCGATGCAGGAGAGTTGGCTTCCCTCGACGAGCCGACCAGGACGACATACAAGGAGGCCTCGGAGGCGCACAACAAGGCCCGCAGCGTGCTCAAGAGCGCCACCGATGCAGGCAAAGCAGCACGTGAGGCAGCAGAGCGGCTCCGCAAAGTCCGTGAATCAATCAAGCGGCGGCGTGGAGATGACGGCCTGGCAGCAGCAGCAGGCGACAAGACATCCGAGGTGGAGGCCCAGCCAGCCTCCAAGGAGAGGGTCGACTTCATTGACGCAGCGGCCATCGAAACATACATCGAGCAGACGGCGGCGCTACGGGCCATGGCAGCGGCGGCCAGAAGAAGAGACCTACTAAGATGAAGAGTGGCCACGTGGACGTGTTGTTCGCCAATGTCACACACTATGGGGAGAAAGTGCGCCATTATGTGGAGCACTGCAGTTTTGATGTGGTTGGTCTTGCAGAGCATCATCTACTGCAGAAGGCCGTTCAGCAGGAGATCAAGAAGCTGCGCTACAAGGGGTGGCAGTCGCAGTTCACATGGGCTCCAGCTACACCGACGGGGAGAAGTACCTCAGGTACACACGGAGGGGCGTGTTGGCTTGCCAGAGCAGGTCACGTCACGTCGGCGCACTTGCCCGACGGCACGGGGCAGAGCGTCTTCCAGAAGGAGCTGAGCGACATCTCGATCATCCTCTGGCGTCTGAAGGGGGCGACGCTGGCGCTGATCTCAGTTTACTTGGAGCGCAGAGTGGGGTTAGACGATCCAGCCAACATCGCCAAGATGATACAACTTACACGAGTGGTGAGATCCCTGGGAGTACCATGGATTGCGCTGGGCGACTGGAACGTCACACCGGCAGATATGCAACTCTGTCCTTGGTTGAAAGCTTTCAGGGGCGAGCTTCTGATCCCCAATGACTGCGCCGTCACCTGCGCGACGGGCAAGGGAAGACTCATTGATTACGGGATCCTCTCGCGAGACTTTCGGCCATTTGTGAGGTTTTCCAAACCAGTGAGAGACGTGCCATGGAGTCCTCACGTCGGGCTGCATCTTCGGCTCCACGTGAGGCCGGCCTCGGTCAAGGTGCTGATGCCCATCCAGCCAGTGAAGATCGAGATTCACACCACGACGATGCACAAAAAAAGGAACTCAAGCGGGCTCAACGTGATCGTGAGAAGTATCTGAAGATGACCGACTCCAACGACAATCACGGCGATGCAGCACAGCCAGGTGACCTACATCACGATGAACATGCCCACCTACTGGAAGAGACTTATGCAGTCAAACAGAAGGAAGCGGCCAGTGATGAACATTGGCTCCAAGCTCTGACAGATACACGAGGCCGACCAGTTCAGGGCCCTATTGCTGAGGTTGCGGACTTCGTGGGCTTTCCGACTGGACCCTGAAGGTTCACTAAGGTTGGCCTATCATTTTAGAGAATGGTCAGTTGCAGCAGAGCAATCACTCTGTATCTTGACAGACACCAAGCCCAAGGGCACAGTGAGACGTGGGTGCAACCCGAAGTTCACCATGCGTAAGGTCACCATCCAGGAGAAGACTGGCCCTTTCCTTGATGCGGCCACGAGAGAGAAGGCCAACCTGTGGGAAGCGCTGGCAGCACGCATGCGAGAACTTGCAGTGTTGAAAGCACGACAGAAGCAGCCCCAGGACGTCCAAGTGGTTGCCCGTATCATCGCGTCCTTGAGCGAGCGACTCGGAGTACTGGAGCATGCCGAGGGCGGCGACAAGGATACGGAGGCCGACAAGAGCGAAGCCACCAGAGTGTTACACAATGTTACCTGTTTCTTGGCTGGGCAAGGATGTCCTTCTCTGAGAAGCTACCCGACGACGAGACCCACTACGCAGTCCAGCCAGCAGCGAGCTGAACGTCCTCGTGCGCGGAGAGGTGCACCACCAATGGAGTCTACTATAGGATGCAAGCCTGAGACGCCCCCAGACTCGTCGCCTACCCCAGCTGGCGATCAGAACGAAAGGAGGCCTCGAGAGGCCGAGAAAGGGGGCCTTGGGGCGGCGAAGAGAGAGGGAGTGGACAGTTCCAACCTCGACGGAACGTTTTTCCGTTGCGCCAGCCCTGGGGCCCTTGCGCCCTGGGCTGCCTTTGAGAGGAGGCCAGGGGTCCCACGGCCCGTCAGGGAGAACCCTTGCAAGGACCAGGCCAGAGTATGACTGAGGCTTCCGAGAACCAGAGCTGACCACGAGATGGCAACCCAACTGCAGCTGCCCCTGCCAGCATGGACGACGACTTCGACCCCTTCGAGCAGATGGGCGCCGAGGCGGGCGAACCCGACCTGGTGCAGCGGCAGCTGGAGGAGGGGGCGGCCATGCACGCGACAACGGGCACGGCCAGTGCCTCAACGAGTTCGGCGCAGAGACCCACCACGACTGCAAGTACGCCCAGTGCAACATCGAGATTGCAGACATCATCGGCACCACAGAAGGCGAATACACAACCGTTGTCGGAGGAGGCCCTCCTCATAGCAGAAGTTTACCGACGAGCCGCTCGGCGTGCCACTTTGGCCTGGCGCGACGCGAGGGCAAAGGTGCGGACGTGGGCCAAGGCAGCCTCGGATAAGTCCATGAAAGGAGCCCATCGATATCTGGGCTCTGAAGAACGCACCAACTTAAGTGACGGATGCGTTGATCCTGACGCCAAGCAGCGGGAGATGGGCCCGCAGAAAGGAATTCAACTACGACGTCGCCAATGGGAACGGCGTTGGACTGCACACAGAGACTTCGCCAAGCAGGAGTTGCCCGTGGCCATGCGCGACCTGGAGCTCAAGGCTCAGGAGGACCTCACTGAGCGGCCTTTCCTCACGCGCGAGAGTCTGGACATGGCGCTGAGCAGCTTCCAGGCGGGCACAGGGCTAGGCGCCGACCAGTGGGCGCCAGACCAGCTGCGCGCGCTCTGCCCGTTGTGCAAAGATTCCTTCCTCCTCATCTTGAATATGTGCGAGCGCCAGCTGACGTGGCCCCATCAGATCATGCAGATATGGCATGCTCTACCACCCAAGGGGGACAAGCAGATAGCGGGGGAGGAGCGGCCCATCGGGCTGATGTCCATGACGATGAGAGTATGGGGGAAGATGACCAAAAACCGATTGACTGAATGGTGCGATCGTAAAGCAGGGTTCTGGGATGCAGCAGTTCGGAAGAGTTCGGCGTTGCAGTCGGCGCTCCTCGCCCTAGTCTTGGACGAAACCCGAGCCAATCTAGACGAAGCTAGCCAGGCCACGTTCTTTCAGGACTTAGAGAAGTTCTACGATCTGGTGGATTTAGGTATTCTAGCGGTGAGAGCGTCCGAGGTAGAGTACCCCCCCCCCCCGTCGAGCTGTACGCGTGCATCATGTCATACCTCTGCCCCAGACTTGTCAAGGCTAACAAGATCTTCAGCGACCTGATAGTGCCAGACAACGGGATGGTCCCAGGCTGCGGCAAGGCGAACCATGGAGCCCGTGCGCTACTGTATCATGTTCTAGAAGAGGTTCACCTAGCTGTCCCGATAGCCAGGTTGAGACAGTTCGTGGACGGCATCATGGTCAGGGTCGAGGGGCCCGAGGAGGTGGCAGGAGCGGCAGTGTCCAAAGCAGCAGGTGTACTGGTCGGGGGCTGCCTCAAGGCTCGGCTCAGGATCTCCAACAAGTCCACCATCCTGGCCCAGAACCCCAAGGACGCCCGCGAAGTTGAGAGAGCCCTGGCCGAACTAAACATCAACACCAAGACTGACCAGGAAATGAAGCACCTGGGGACCGACAACACCATGGGGCAGCGCAGATCCAGGAACATTGCTTCCAAAAGGGGTAGGCTCGGCAGAATTCGGGCCACCAGGGCCGGTTTGTTTGCGGGTTTGGGACGGGCCCGACGTAAGAAACGCAAGTTGTTGTACAATATGAATGTTCAGGCTAAGATGTCTTACGATAGTCCCCTTTTTTGGCCCCCCCCCCCCCCACCGAAATCCGAAAGCGGAGACCCCTGGCCGCGGACTTAGTTGGTTTTGGGAAGAAAGGCCGATGCACGGCCACGGTCATGCTGCTGATGTATGAGGAAGGGGACCCCTGGGCTGCGTGCGTCAAGCGCCAGACCAAGGAGTGGTTGCAGTTCTGGGCCAACAACCCCTCCCTCAGACAGCAGGTGCGGCGGGGGTGGACGGCCACTAAGTTTAAGTTAGCAAGACTCAAACCCCGATCCCCATGGCGAGCAGTAGCAGGGCCTATGGGGGCCATGCTGCTCACACTTCGGTCCCTGGGATTGGTTGGGGTTGAACCTGATGTTTGGGAGGGCCCCGACGGTTGCGAATGGCGTTTCAACCCCGACCTTTCCGACGAAGTAGGAGAAATTTGTGATGCGTTGGCCCAGTCTGTAATTAAAGGGTTGTGGAGACAGGCGTCCCAACACACCGAAGGTGAATGCCTCAAGGACGGAGGCGATCTCACCATGCTGCGTCTCAGTGTTAAGCGTATGCGCAGGAAAGATATGTATCAGGAAGCTGGTGCCCTGGAGGGGGTGAGAGGTGTGGTAAGTCCTTGGAGGCCCAGGATTCCGGGACGTCTGGTCGTGTTGAGAGGTGAGACAGGACATCCAGTGTCGATGTCGAGGGTTGCGCCTTTGAATTTCTAGAGTGTCCGGGCGTAATATGCTTATAATTTCTGATTGTCCGGAGATTTCGGGGTGCTGCTGGCCTCCAGGTCCCATGTTAGTTCGCCGTCTTGTTGAGCCAGAGTGGTAGCGCTACCACTCTGGCTCAACAGGACGGGTGCACCCGTCCTGTTGAGTACCACCCTGTGCCCACCCAGGCCATCGCGAACGAGATCTTGTTCGATGATGGCCTTGGTGGGCGCAGGGTGGTACTCAACAGGACGGGTGCACCCGTCCTGTTCAGCCAGAGTGGTAGCGCTACCACTGTGGCTCAACAGGACGGCGAGTGCCTCAAGACCCCAATAAGGATATCTCGTAGATCGCATAACCCGAGCTTTTTGTAGGGCTGTCCGGGGACACATGCCTTATTTGCCACGTTGGTCCGGGCGTTGCGCTTGTCAGAACACGGCGGACCAGGCCTCGACGGACGTTTGCTGAGCCTCGTCCTGCTCCTCACCCCACCTCCTCCCTCCGCCCTCCTCTATCATGATGCTAGCGCAGCTCCGAACACACAGGCGAGCATGTCTGCACGACGCTTGCCATGCCCCTCTCACCTCTGCGCCCACCCCATCCTCCAATCATCCCTCAATTCTCTGTCTCCCTCCTTACCCTCACCCATTCGCTTCCCAACCCCCCATGTTGTCCTGTGTTTTGCCTCTGCGCTAAGATGTATGCACTGTGCCTAATTGCGCTAACTGTTCAGTGACAGTCCCAAGTCACCAGCAACGTTATGCAGGTCGGGGGCCATGCTCTATATGCGGCCACTCGAAAGACGCTTAGTATGGAGCAAACCCTTGGCTCATCCTACGAAGCGCAGTCGAGCGATACTTTGTGCGATCAACGCCACCAGGGCACTTCTCACGAAACGATTTTGGGCAATAGAATTTTACATAATGCCCGCACTCCACGCGCACGAGCAAGTCACGGGGCTCGAATGGCACCGTCCTGAGCACGTGCGACACGTGAACCTCTCTGACGATATCTGGGCACCAGAACTCGGCACACGACTTCCACGATTGCGGCGTGATGATCCCGTCGCCCAGATCGTTACCAGGCAGATTGGTGGAACCTTGAAGACGATCACCGTGTTTGATGAGACGTACGGCTGAGAAGGGCGGTCCATGGGTCGGCCCAACGGGAGGTGGTGTGCAGCAGCGTACATACTCACGTAACTAACGCACAGCAACCAAACATAATTTTTCGAGCCAAAAAAGGCGACTGAGAATGAAGATGCTTGAAGATGGTGAGGGCTGTGAGGATTTCAGGTCGGTGATCTGCTCAGGTGTACCAGCAGGCGGCCCCGATTGGATGGGGAGAAGGGTAGCATGAGCAGTGAGACGATGCAGCGAGGAGGCGGTCCCGAATGGATAAGGGTAGCATGAGCAGTGGGGCGATGCAGACAGGAGGACGGATCGGTGACCAGGGAGAATGAGGAGGAGGAGGAGGAGGAGCAGGAGGAGGAGCAGGAGGAGGATCGGAGAAGGAGGATGGTGAGGATTGTGCTTTCGCACTCTATCAACGGGCCGATCTTTCGTTCTAGGTCTGGCGCCGTTTTACTCGATGAAAATGCAACTACCTAGTCACGACACGGGGTCGATGTCGACGTTCGTATCTATTACACATCGACATGTCGCCGGGGCTGCCTGTCCGCTGGTGCTAACCACATGCGACCATAATGCGTGACCAGGCGCACTCTAAGACATGCTTCTGCAACTGCGACTACCACCGAACCGAACATATGTGCCTGATTCCCCTGATCCCCCAGAGTCCAGTCGCATTGCAGCCAGCGTGAGCTATGAGTGACTGGCGGTCGATAAAGTTGCGATGCTATCCTAGTGCCTAGGAGCCTGAACAAAAAAGGTGGTGTGCTGCCAGCGCTTGCCGGCATCTCTGTCGATGTTGCTCAACATCGCAGCCAGCGACCCAGCTGCTCCTGTCCCAGCCGCGTCATCCTCCTCAGAAGCGCCACCATCTCCCTCCTCAATGGGATCCTCACCATCTTCCGCGTCTGCAGATGCTGCCCTTCTTCTTCGCCGCCGCTGTGGTTTTCTTCTTGGCGGCAGCCGCCGCCTTCTTGGCCGATGCAGTTGCCTTTCTCTTGGCCGCCTCATCCTCATCGCCAGGCCCGCTGGTAGCCACCCCAACGAGGTGCTTCGCATAGCTTGCGTGGTAGTGGTTGTTGCCCTCGGTCTTCATGAGGATCATGTACTCTTTGATCAGGTGCTCCGTCAGCATTGCCTTGCGCTCCTCGTTCTGGAAGCAGACTCCCAAGTATCCGATGCCAGTCTGGATGCAGTGGAGGGCAAAGTTCCCATTGCCGGGCGTTCGGTCGATCACAGTCTTGATGTAGTAGCTCGACGTGATCTCCTTGTAGAATTCACGCGGCAGTGCGTGCCAGCATACTGGCTCCACGGCCTGCTTCATTTGGCGACCACTGCCCCTGCCCCCGCGCACCCGAGCGGCACATCGAACTCAGGCTTCTCGGCGCTGTCCAGATCGGCGCCACCAGTCTCGTCATCTTCGACGCTCTCACAGTCGCTAGCCTTCTCCTCGCCATCGATAGTCTTGCCCACTACTTCCCTGCGGTTCGGCCCGTAGAACTTTAGCTTCTCCCCGACCGTCATCTCCCAGCTGGACTCCCATGACTCGTAAGCGACAGGGCCCATGACGTTCCCGTTGTTGGATCCAGGATCCACATATCGTTTTTTTCTCGGGTATGGTGGCGCCGCTGGTGTGATAGAAGTGCATCGTCTGAAGCTGCTTGAGCGCAGACACCCCATGGACCAGAGCTCGGCGGTTTTTCAAACTCGACTCCTCGAACAACAAGTTGGTGGTGTTCTTCACAACGCCCTCGGACTGGCACGCGACCTTCCAGCGACCCTTCGTGGTGACCATGACCTTGTTGACTTTGTCCCCGGTGCCTTGCATAAGGCATCGGCCGAACCTCTTTCGAGTTTACAGATCGGACGAGCAGGATTCCCGAATCGCCCTTCGCCCTCGAGTCCCCGGGATGCCCCTCAGTCCCTGAATCCCTGAGATGCCCTGAGTCCTGGAGTCCCCGGAGAACAAAACAAACATCCCGAGTCCCCAGGATGCCCTTGAGAGAAGGAGGTTCAAACGATCCCACCTTTCTTCTCACCGTCGAGGTACATGTACACGTCACCTTGGTTCAAGCGCTTGGAGTCCGAAATGCTCTTGCGACACCTGTTCCTAGCAAACGCGACACCTGTTCCTAGCGGCATGGAGCAGTCCGGATATGTGGTGTGCCGAGTGTAGGCCACTCGGAAGCCACAAGCGCGGTGTGATTTAGGGGTTCCGGGTTGTGTACTCGGTGTGATTCAGGGGTTCCCGACACCACGCGCCACCGAACGTATGAGTGCCCCTGTCTGGCCCAGTTGGAGCACCCTTGGATTACCAGAACGGGACACTTATGCGAGCGTGCGATCCGCGACCTCGACGGCGGTGTGAATTCGTCTCTCTGGCTCCGAGGGATCGTTCCCCCAACCTGGAATCCAGTCCCTCTCCCACCAGAATGGGGGGATGTCAGTGCCTAGCGTGTTAAAGCCGTCGATGTCCCACCCCCTGCCATCGGTCCCACTGGAGAGGTGATGCCAGCCCGCAGGCAGGAAGCGCGGATCGCTTTTCTGGATGGGTCAGGCACTTCCTCGGATCCGCGTGTTGCCCGTGTGGGGTGGGGCGTCTACCTCCAGGTGGGACCGACTGGCCCTCCCGCTCCTGGAGCCTCGGACCCTTCCCCTCCCCTCCCAGGGTGGTTTGGGTGAATCGACGGCCGCCAGACCGTCCCAGCTGCTGAAGTGGCGGCCCTGTGGTGGTGCCTGTAGTTGACGACGGGAGATATTATAACATAGACTGACAATCAAGCTGTGTTTGATGGGTGGCATGGAGGCAGAATTGACGACCCAAGAAGGGCGCTCCGAGGCTGGTGGCAGAGAGTCCGAGCTGTGGCCCGAGTGCGCACAGGCGTTGTCGCCCTCCGTAAGTGCTTCTCTCATCTCGATTCCCAGTCTCACCTCTTGTCCTCCCAATCTCCTCTTGTCTCACGTGGGAATGAAGTGGCTGACGCCTACGCCCAGAGAGGGGCGGAGGAGGCGGGAGCGGCCATCAGAGGCGAGGTGAGAGCCCTCGGCGTCGCTGACGCCTCCGCGATCCTCGTCCAGCAGCGCTTGGCTGCTGTGGCCATGGAGCTGGCGGCGCAGGACCGTGAGCTGTGTGCATGGACTCCCGAGGGGGGAGGGGGGGGGTGCTTCCAGGCGGGCAGTCGAGCTTGAGCGCGCGTCGGGCCATGACCTGGGGCGTCTTTCCAGTGGGGCGTGGGTGTGCCGTCTTGGGCCGTCTCTGGGATCGTCCCTTCTGGGTTGGCTCGGGCTCGATGAGAACTGCTGTAAAGGGGGGCCCCACCCAGCGGCACTTGAGCGATAATGACAATGTGGTGCTCGTCCCCCGTCCTGTCACCGAGGAGTTGAGGACTGCGAACAGGCAGGTCCACCCCTCCCATTGCGTGGCCATGCGCAATGGCCAGGTTTGGTGTTGGAAATGTGCCAGCCTTGGAACCGTGGTGAACGGGGGGGACGCATTGTGCTCTTGGCGGAGCCGTGCCGTGAATGGACCACCCCCTCGGGAGATAATTATTTGAGTCGATTGCGCAAGGGGCTCCCCCCAAAGGGCAACAAATGGCCCAATGAGAAGGGAGTGGGACGCCTCCAAGTTGAGGCAGGCTCTAGTGTGATCAAGTCGCTTTTGAAACACAAGTCTCGGATATAGGTTGCTATTGAGAGCCGCCCCCCGAGCGGGGGGTGTAACTGTCCAGCTGTGGCCTCGCTGCTGACTGGCACCCTTCAGCATTCTCCCAGCATTATCCCCCCCCCCCCCCCCTCCCTCCTCCTCCTCATCCTCCTTCTCCTCTTCTCCTCCTCCTCCTCCTCCTCGTCCTGTGCTCTGTCCTGTCCTCCTCCTCCTCCTGACGACCTGCCGAGCTGAAGTGGCGCAAGAGTCCACGGGCCCCGACCGTTCCGGAAGGGAGTGGGGCGATGTTTGCCTCTTGGAGTCTTCTCGGCGGTCCTCTGGGAGCTCTCTTGTGCCGTCTTGGGAGCCTCGTGGGCCGTATCGAACCATCTTGGACCGTCGAGGGGCTACCTTCGGCCGTCTCAACACTCTTGTGGATTGTCGTGGCGTTCTTTGTGGGGTTTTTTTTCGAGCAGTCTTGGGCTTTTGTTGCAGGCTCCAGAGGCCCAGGGGTGGCGTTGGCGAGCCCGAAGGGACCCCCCCGGAATCGGACTTTGGACTCCGGGACAGGGGGGGGGGGGCGGCCAATCATCCCTCACGCCTTGTCACCCCCAGCAAGCGGGGGTCGGTGGATTTGGGCGCCGCGCCCTCGACGCTCAGGAATCACGCTCTCGCTCTGGACTTCCTCGCAGTTCCCTTTGGAATCGCGTTAAGTATCGCTAGAGACCTGCAGTGGACAGTGGAGGCCCATGCCAAGAAACACCCTAGGTGCCCTGGGTTTACTGGGTCTCGATGTTTTCGCCATGGAAAGCGTGACGTTGTCTCACCAAACATCGATGGACGTTCTGGGGTCTCAGTTGGAATCCACCGCCCCGCTGTTGCGAGGCAATTGTATAGGAGGGGGTACAGAGGGCACGGTGTTTACACAGATTGGAGGGATTCGTGAATTCAGTGATGGTCGGGATTGACATGCCTCGAAGAACTCGCGCCCACCCGAATTCGCAATCATGTGGTATATCTGCGGACCGCTGACATGTTGCTTCCCGTCGCCGTCCTCCTCGCTCCCTTCTCCTTTCTCTATCCCCTGGATGGGGTCGAAGGCGGCCGCGGCTCCGGCGGAGGAGCGCCCCCCTTTCTCCTCCCTCTCATTCTTCGTTTTTCCTCTATGCCACCCTGCTCCACTATCCGCCGTCCCCCCCTGCCCCCCCCTTGCTCCAAGAAAGGCAAGTGATGGGGCCGCGAGCCCGCGTTCGCATTGTAGTGCCCGTTCGATATCTGCGCACAGCGAACCAACCAAGTAGAGGACTTAGCCGATGCAAGCGTTTGGGGTGCCGGCCGCCAACACACAGTCGTAGCGGTACCATGTCAAGTTCGTGTTGCCTGCGACAAGGTCCGCCACCGTGCCAGCGCAGCGGCCCGAACGGTGACGTTTCGAGCTATGCTTGTTCAAACGTCCAGGACATGTGACATTTGTCATGTTGTCGAATTGGTGTCGGGTCTTTCTGGGGGGGTCCCTCGGGGCCCTCTTGGGATGTTTGGGGGCCGTCGGGGGCAGCCTTGGCGCCGCGTTCCACAGTGGCCGCCCTGGGCCCTGGATGTGTGTTTTTGCAGTCCCTGGGGGCCGCCCTGGGCGAGGGAAGTGTGTATTCGCACCCCCCTTACCAGGGACGTCGACTTCGGTTCTGGTTTGGCAAAGTAGGGGTACGGTACCTTCGAGGTGGCGAGCGTCTACAGTTTCGAAATGCACGGATCAAGGTGTGACTTGTGCACAAAGCTCGTGTCTTCAACTGTGTGACTGCTCGTGCGGGTCCACCGTTTACACAAATAGGGGTGTGATCTGTGTACACAAATCGTGCCCCCATCTGTGTATTTGGAGTGCGCCCCTCGCGGGTGATGGTGACTGGGCGGGACGTGTCGCGTTTCTCTCGGCTTGTCTTCGGGGGGGTGCTGCACGCGGGCGAAATTCACAGTTCGTGTGTCCAGCAGTGCCCGCGCTGCGCGCTACCCGCTGGTGCGGCGCCTGGGTGGGACTTCCTGCTGATATCCCTGCTGGTCACGGAGGGGGCCGTGGTTTGGGAGGACAAAGGCGCTGGCGCCTGGGGATGACGCGCGATGGGTGGGAAACGGCGCGAGAGAAAGGGTGGCGACGGGGCCGGGGGATGAAAGGGGGAGGAGGGGAGGGAAAGAAATGGGCCCAGGAGGAAGTGCAGCATCGGTGCCAGCATCACGAGGACGAGGGAAGCGGAGGGGGGCAGAAGGAAGTGAAATAAACTGCGCATGGCCGTATGGGGAAGGGGGGGTGGCGAGGGCGCGCATGGGGGGGCGGCGCGTCGGGCAGAGAAGGGCGAGGAGGAACGCCGCGCGGTGGCGGAAGGGGACAGGAGCATGACGACGAGGGGGAGGGGCATGATGAGGAGGAGGGGGATCGGATGGGCACGAGGACGCGAGGAGGATGAATCGAAGGGGAGTGGGCATGGGGAGGAGGAGGGGGATGGTGCGTGAGGTTGGGGCGGGCGCGAGGTAGCGCTCATTTGGGCGGTACTTTGCATTCCCGCGCAACGCCTGAAAACATACGTGGCGGCTGCAGAGCAAGGCTGTCCGGGTCGTCGCGCGCGGCGCGCGTCAAATCCAAACGCTCGAGTCCACGACGTTTCTCAGCGTCGTGTTGTTGATGCCGCCCGTTTTCGCCGGGCCGCGCGTGCACAGATTTGCTGACTATGTGTTTCAATGTTGGCCTCGCGACCCTCCCTATAGTAACATACCAACGTTGGAATCCAAGGTCACAGGGTTGGGTTTTTTGTGGAAGGTTTCTTGTGGATTGGCCTCCATTGCGTTCGCGATCCCATGCAGGCCTTACGTTGCAGCGGCCCGCCTGCTCGCCCTGGCCGTCTGCGCCCGCCCACCCCCCAGCCCGTCGGGGTCCCCCCGCGCGACCCGCCCGTCCGGCTTTGTCGCTTGATGTCTTGCTCCCAACCCAGACATGATCGCGTCGTCGAAAAATCCGGACGGGAGGTTTTTGGCCATTTTTGGCCTCGGGGGGCCTTCGCCGGGCCTCGGGACCGTCAAAAAACGAGTCGGGAGGAAGAAACGGTCCCGGGGAAACGGGTCGGGACTTCCAGGGGCCCCGTATTGGAAAACGAAGGACGTCGCACGGTTGGGACCCCCTCCTGCTAATCTCTATGTTTTCTCTCCCCCATTGCCCTTTCCCTCCTCTTTCCATTCCCGCACTCCTTTCCCTCATCGTTCCGTACTTTGTTCCCGTGCCCTTCCATTTCCTGTCGTTTCAGGTGCTGCGCCACGTGCGCGTGGCAAGCAAGGAAGATGCACGTCCCCAAAGGGGGGGGGATTAAGCACGATCGAGCACGCGAGCAGAGGTGAGCGACCAGCACGCGCCGCGTTCCTCTGAGGT